TTTTTTTTTTTTTTTTTTTTTTTGAGTTGAGGTCTCTCACTCTGTTGCCCAGGCTGGAGTACAGTGGTGTGATCATAGCTCACTGCAGTTTCAATCTCCTGGGCTCAGGTGAGCCTTCTGCTTCAGCCTCCTGAGTAGCTGGGACTACAGGCATGTGCCACCACATGTGGCTAATTATTTTATTTTTTTGTAGAGGCAAGGTCTTGCTACGTTGCCTAGGCTGGTCTTGAACTGAGCACAGAAAGAACTCTGAAGGAAAACTAGACAGGGATGTGATGAGGGTGACTAGGGATAGGGAATAGGGCAGCACAAGGATGCAGGGTTGAGATGACCTTCGGGTGGAGGCTTGAGTGATGGAGAGCCAGCCTCTTATCTCAGCCTCCCAAAGTGCTGGGATTACAGGCGTGAGCCACCATGTCTGGCCTGAAACAGAATTGTTATATTAGGGGGATTCCCCAGTGATCTGGGAGAAGTACCTCATTTTACACATGGGAAGACTGAGGCTCAGAGAGGGGAAGGAACTTTCCAGAATGAAAGTGCTGAGAGTCCTGGCCCTTGTCTACTACTGGCCCTACACCCAGCTATTTTACTGGGAAAGCTGACTTCCTGGGGAAGCCCGGCATGAGTGCTAGGATCTGCTGGAAGCCGATGACCTATAGCAGGTCGGTCTCAAGCCCATGTTGCCGAACTGGTGTCCTCTGCAGAGCTGCCCCCTGGCTTCAGCCTGCCTCAGCCCTCCCTTCTTGGCCTTTCTGTGGGGAGCATGGGGGTTCTCTGGTGCATCCATCTGGAGGTGATGGTCCCCGGCAGGCAGCAAACCCTGCAGGCAGATGGCAGGAGGTCAGTGGCATCCTTAGCCTGCTCCTGGGCCACGCCCCTTCCTCTTAGCCTCCTAAAGGGACAGACTGCTGTGGAGTGAGATTTCACCAGGTGGGCGACATGCCCGTTATTCTCTTGGAGTTTTATCTCTTGCCCATCCCCTGTTCTGACCACATGCAGGTGCAGATGGGAGTGCAAAACAGCCAGCACATTCCCGAGTGTTTGGGGCAGGGCTGAGTTCAGAAGGCCAGCTCCCCAGGCCAACCCTCACAGGCCTGTGTGACAGCACCCCCAAGACATCTGTTGGGTGTGCAAAGGCCTTCTGGGAAGCACTGGGTGGGGGCTGCCGGAGAAGGGATACAGGGATATTCCTGAGCCCCAGGAGTTCTCTGATTTCTCTGCCTTCTAGCTGCTGGAGGGCAGGAATGGTTTCCTGATCATCACTGGTCATCGCCAGGCAGGTCTTTGTGGCCCAGGTGGTAGAGAAGATGTCACAGTGTGGCGTGATGGTTAGGACTTTGTGTGTGTGAGACTTGGGCATGATGCTCAATGTCTCTCAACCTTAGTTTTCTCATCTGTAGGATGCGGTTACTGATTTCTGCTTCATTCAAGGTTGCTTTCTGTGGCAGACTAAATGACTGAAGTAAGCACTGCATGAACAAGGTGTAGATAGCAACTGTACCCATAGGACCGCTGGAGGCAGTGCTGTGAGGCCAGAGGAGGGAGAAGTGCCACCCTAGTGAAGTGGTCAGGGCAGTCTTCTTGGAGGAGGTGTCTTGCAAATCAGGCCTTGAAGGAAGTGGGATGTGGTGGAACGGGGCTGTCCTGGTGCAGAGGGAGAAGGGTGGTGGGTGAGAGGTCTTGGGTGATCTGTGAGGGGCAAGTCAGGGTTGCGGGTGAAAGCCTGGGTCCCGCTGGGTGAGTTAAGGAACTAGTGGGACAGACAGCAAGCAAGCAGAATAGTCCCAGGGGCTGCTGGGACCCACAGATTTCTCGCCCCTTCATGGCCTGGTGTTCACAGCCCTGGGCGCTGTGGACCCCAGACCGGGTGACAGCCCACCTTGCTGGCAGGATGCTCCGAATACCTGGGCCTGAAGAACAACGCCATCCCTGACAGGCAGATTACGGCCTCCAGCACCTACAAGACCTGGGGCCTACCCGCCTTCAGCTGGCACCCCTCCTATGCACGGCTGGACAAGCAGGGCAAGTTCAATGCATGGACCGCCCGGACAAACAGCGCCTCCGAGTGGCTGCAGGTGGGTCAGGCCCCTCTGGGGATACAGAGCTGGGTCCAGGTGGTGCTGGGTGGGTCCTGGCTGGGTTGCCATATCTTTGACCTTTTCCCAACCCAGGCTTCTGTCCTCCAGGAGAGTGTCTGAAAAGCCTTGTTTTTCTTTGTTTTTATTTATTTTTTATTTTTAGAGACAGGGTCTTGCCCTGTTGCCCAGGCTGGAATGCAGTGGCATGATTAGATGGGGGGGGGGACCTAAAAAACCTGGAATTATTGTTTTGGAGGGTGTGCCTCTTATAATACAGGCTTCTCCCACTGGGTAAGTATTATAGGAACCCATCGGCCTCAGTGTGCCAGCTAGCCTTGTTGTGAGAAGGCTGCATTGTGGAAGAAGCATCCCGAGTTGTGGCAAAGAGGTGACTGGTTCTTCCACCATGAAGACGCACCTGCCCACACTGCACTGAGTGTTTAGCAGTTTTTGACCCAAAAATGGCATGACCCCGGTGCCTCACACTCCATATTCACTTGATCTCCTCTGTGTGACTTGTTTCTGTTTCCCTGCATGAAAAGAAGTCCTCAAAGGGAAATGTTAGCCGGGCACGTGATGGCTCGTGCCTGTAATCCCAGAACTTTGGGAGGTAGAGGCAAGAGGATTCCCTCAGTACAGGGGTTCAAGAACAGCCTGGGCAACTTGGCAAGTCCTCGTCTCTACGATAAATAAAAAAAAATTAGCTGGGTGTGGTGGCGCAGACCTGTGGTTCCAGCTACTTTTAAGGCTGGGGCTGAAGGATCACCTGAGCCCAGCAAGTCAAAGTGGCGGTGGCTGTGAGCATGCCACTGCATTCCAGCCTGGGCGACAGTGTGAGACTCCAACTTAAAAAAAAAAAAAAAAGAATGTTTTGCTGTCGTGGAAGAGGTGAAGCAAAAACGGCAGAAGCACTGAAAGGCATCACAGTTAATGAGTTCAAAAACTGTTGTGAGCAGTGGAAAAAGCATTTCAATAGGTATATTGGATCAAACAGAAAGTACTTTGAAGGTGACTGGAGTTTAAACATGTAAGAATAAATACACAATTGTTTATAAATACATTCTGGTGTTTTTTGGGACTTCCTCCTAGCTCACTGCAGCCTCGGCCTCCCAGGCTCAAGTGGTCCTCCCATTTCAGTCTCCCCAGTAGCCGGGACTACCGGTGTAATGCCATGCCCAGCTAGGTTTTTTACTTTTTGTGGAGAGGGGGACTCGCTGTGTTGCCCAGGTTCTTGTTTTTCCTTGGCTTTTTCTTTCATCTGCCCCATCTTTCTCCGTGGAGCCCCCCAGGTGGAGAAAGTTTGTGTATGTGTGTGGGGGCAGAGACAGGGCACAACCCACAGACCGCAGAACGGGTAGAGGAAGGAGACCTGATCCAGGCCTCTCAGGACCTCTCTCCTTGAGCATAGTGCATGTCCTGTGAATGAGTGTCTGAGAAGCTATCATGGGACAGCCCTTGTATTTTATCAAACCTGGGAAACACAAGATAGTCACAGAAAACAGAACTTGTTTTATAGATGGGGAAACCGAGTCCTAGGAGGTTGAGGATTTGCCTGGGCTCCCCTGCTGGTTGGCAATGAGTTAGGTTTGTGCCTGGATCTTTTTTTTTTTTTTTTTTTTGAGTCGGAGTCTCACTCTGTTGCCCAGGCTGGAGTGCATTGGCATACTCACAGCCCCCACAGCCTCGACCTGCTTGGCTCATGTAATCCTTCTGCCGCAGCCTTCCAAGTAGCTGGAACCACAGGTGTGTGCCACCATGCCCAGCTGATTTTTTTATTTATTGTAGAGACGAGGTCTCGCCAAGTTGCTCAGGCTGGTCTGGAACCACTGAGTTCAGGCAATCCTCTTACCTCCGCCTCCCAAAGTGCTGGGATTACAGACATATAATATGAGCTTTTATCGCAGTGAAGTGCCTAGCACTATGTGTGGCAAAGTGGGTGGTATTATGATGCCCATTCACAGCTGAGGAAACCGAGGCTTGGCCAAGTAAAGTAGCTTCTTTCAAAACTAGAATTGATGCCCCAGTGCACCTGCCTCTTTGCACCTCACTAGAGATGGTCCAAATGAAGGCAATGGGTTTGTTTCTTCCGGTGTGCCCTGGATCTTGAGACTGCCCATCCAGAGCAGATGGCTGGTCCCCTGGGATGTCAGGGCTTGGAGGCAGGAGGTCTGTCTCTGGGCCCTTCAAAGCATGCTGTGGAGTTGGGGGTCCATGAGAAGCTGCCTGTCTCTGGACTCCCTCAGGACCAATGGAAAGCTGTGGGCAGCCCTGCAGGGGCCTCTAGGGCCATTCTTTCTCCTCTAGGCTGTGACTGCTCCTTCTCGGGGAGGCTCAGAGTGAAGGCTAGACTCTTCTGGAAGCAGATGGCCCAGGTCTGCCTTGAGCCTATGGTGCAGAATTGGTGTCCTCTGCACAGTTGCCTCTGACTTCAGCCTGCCTTAGACCTCCTCTGTTCTGGAGGCAAGGGACAGCTGCTCCCAGCACAGTGATCTCTCTGTGGGGAGGGTGGTAGTTTCCTGGTGCACCATCACACCCTAGTGCAGGTGCAAGGCAGGGCTTGGCGTAGAGTTGACCAGGGACCAGACTCTGAAATACGAACTTTATCACAGTGAAGTACGTAGCACCATGTGTGGCATGCTCATTCACAGCTGAGGAAACCGAGGTTCAGCCAAGTAAAGTAGCTTCTTCCAAAACTAGAATTCGTGCCGCAGTGCATCTGCCTCTTTGCACCTCGCTGGAGATGGTCTAAGTGAAGATAATGGGTTTGTTTCTTCTGTAGGTTGACCTGGGCTCCCAGAGGGAGGTGACGGGTGTCATCACCCAGGGGGCCCGTGACTTTGGCCACATCCAGTATGTGGCATCCTACAAGGTGGCCTACAGCAACGACGGCCGGCAGTGGACTGAGTACAAGGAGCCCAGGACCGGCAAGAGCAAGGTGGGTGTCTGTCCAGCTGCTCTCCCCCGCCACGACTTCCCTGGTAGTCTGGCCTGGGGCTCCGAGGGGAGGGGGCTGGCTCCGGGGCCCTCCTGACACCCCCTCTGCCTCTAGATCTTCCGCGGCAACTCGGACAACAACTCCTACAAGAAGAACGTGTTCGAGACGCCCATCCAGGCTCGCTACGTGCGGATCCTGCCCGTGGCCTGGCACAACCGCATCACCCTGCGTCTGGAGCTGCTGGGCTGCTAGTGGCCACCTGCCCCTCCCTCCCTGGTCCTCCTGCCTTCTGTGAGCCTGCTGCCTCCTCAGCCCTCCCTGATTGTAACGGCTCTGATGGAGGGCGGGGAGGGTGAGGGGGTTTTAGAGGCAGGGCCACCAGGCAGTCGCCTCTCCCTCCCACATCCTCACCTCCACCTCTCACAGGCCCCTGGCGCCGGGCCCTTGCATCGCCCCATTTTCCTAGGCACTGAGGGAGTGGGGTAGGTCTGGGATGGATGGGAAAGGGTGTGTGGGTTCCCTGCATCTCTCTGGACCTCTGACTCCAAGCTTGGGGTAGCTCTAGAAGTGCCTGTATCTTCCCCAGCTCCTCTCCACACAGCACATTCCCACATCCCCGAGGAAGCCCATGGCGCCAGGCTGGAGATACAGCTTCCTGTCCATCAGCCCTGGGGTACCATGCTGCCACTGTTCCTGCTGCTTCCTGACCCCCTGGCACTCCTCTTATCTCCCTGGAGACCTCTCTTGACCTTTGTCCTGAAGCCTAGTAAGACAGAAGGGGGCTGGGCAGGTCTAGAGAAAGACTGGGGAAGGAGAGGGGTTGGCTGGGTGGGCACGGGGGGCCCTCTGTGCTGGCTCTTCACCCCACAGTACACAGGCAGCTTCTAAATATATTTATATTCTTCACTGGGACTCTTGCTGTTGTTGATCATTGCTCCCTCAGAACGGGATTTATTGCCCAGCCTCTACCCTCGGTCCTCCCTTACCCTGGCATTCTTGTGACACCCACCCCACTACAGCAGGAGGAGGAAGACAATCGGGGGAGGGGTCAGACTTCCAGCCTGACTCAACTTCCATCCCCTCTGGCCCTGGGGCCCAGCGCGCCGGGCACAGAGGCGGTCTCCATGACTGTTTTGGCTCCCTTCCTGGAAGGTTTCCCCTTTGGTGATTTTCCGTTTGTCTGCAGCTGGCGTAGTGGGCTGGAGAAGCTATTAGAAACCCTGTGAGCCTGGGCTGCTTTCAGAGCTCTGGAGGTCTTGGGGTGGGGTACAGTGTGGGATGGGAGGAGGGGGCCAGGGCTCTGCCAAGTGGGCACGAGGCCCCCTGGCCCAGCACTTGCCACGGGCACATGCACTACAGGGCTGGAGGAACGCTCCAGAGGTACCCTTTGCCCTCCCCCATGGGGAGTGGCATCAAGAAGTGGTGGGGAGGGGGGCTGCAATATAGTCAGTGCAGGCTAGTGATCTGGGAACAGGGGTTGCAGGCAGAGGAGGGACCGACTGGCTTGGAAAGGAAACAACACCTTAGTTTCCAAGATGAATTTTCACCAAATTTGGGAGCTGCACAGGCGGGAGGGGCTGGCTTCTGGGCAGCAGGAGGTCTGGCCAGGAGGCTGCCAGAGTGAGGCGTGGCTTTGCTGGAACCAGATCAGTGAAACCTGGTCTGGAAGTGACTCCTTCCTGAGAGCTGTTGCTGGGGGCTTCTTGGCTGGCAGGGACACAGAATCAAAGGCTCAGAATAGGGGATGTGGGACTCCCAACCCCTGAGGCCTCTCAGCCCACTCCCTCTGTAAGCCCTCTGTGGTGCTGTGGGGGTGGGGTTTGGAGTGACATCTTTCTGGTGGTGGCTGGCCTCAGGACCCCCTCCTGGGAGCATTTCCCCGACCCTGAACCCTCGTCCTGGCCTCTCCTGGAGACAGCCTTCCCAGTATCTAACTGGAGGTTTGCAGAAGGGGAAACAGCTTTGCTCCCATCTGGGACCCTGCCTGTTTGCTGTATCTTGTCTCCTGTGGGCCAGTTTCACTGGCTGCTTGGCAGGTGGGTGGACAGTGGTCACCAGGCCCCCACCTGGCCCAGGACACCTGATGTGAGTCTGGGATTGCCTAAGCCACCTCTCAGTCCCTTCTCATCTGTGTGGCCTTGGGTGGGTTGGCCATAGTCTTCTGAAAGTCCCCCGCACCTGGGAGCCTGGATCAGAGTCCTCTCAATCCTGACTCCATTCCTTGGCTCTTCTTGCTGGGCAGTCTTCTCCACTTATGTGGCTTTTACCATCACCTCTGTGAATTCACTTTTTTTTTTCCCTGACTGCAGGCCAGAGAGCCAGCATTGAGATTCCACCTGCTGGCCACCCCCTACCCCTGGCTGACATGTTAAGCCTTACTGTAACAAAACTGACCCTCCCTGCTGTCTACCTGCTGTCCACCCCCTCTCTACACTCGTAGCTGTCAGCACTGGGACCCATTGACCCTGCCTCTCCCAGGAGTCGACTCCTTTTTCCATTCCTGGTTTAAGTATGGTGAGTGAAGAAGTTTAAAGCCCCCAGTCAGACAACCTCAGTTCAAATCCTGGCTCTAGGTGACCTTGGGCAATTTATTCAACCTCTCTGGGCCTCAGTTCATCTGTGAAATGGATGTAGTAAGGCTGAACTGATGGCCTCATGGGCACTAAAAAAGAATGCACACAGGCACCCATGTGAAGTCAGTGGCCTTGGAGAATCTGTCTATCGTCGTTGGAGAAGTTTGCAAGAGTTTTCAAGTGGGTACCTGTGCCCTGTGTATTTCCCAACTTTCCTGTGTGGTTGGATATGTCTCTCTTCCCTGCAGAGGAAACTTCACTGTATCCAGAGTTATTTGTGCTCTCATTTGCTCCTGGCTGTCTCTCTCTCTCTCTCTCTCTCTCTCTCTCACACACACACACACACACACACACGACCATCTTGAGATGTGTTTAGGAAGACCCTCTGGGCTTTGTGACCCCAGGGCCCTCTGACCCCAGGACCTTCTCAGCCCAAACTGAAGAACCTCCTTAGTCTTTGCTGCTGAGGAAAAACCACCCCTCACCCACACCTCCCCAGCATCAGTCTGGCCAAGAAAGAAGCATCCTGTCTGAACAGAGGTATCCCGAGAGGGGCTGCCTGGATGACAGTGCTGATAGATGGCAGGATTCTTAAGGGATGACCCATTCCTGTTGGACCAGTCAGGAGCCTAGTAACCCCTGCAGGCTGCTGGGAGCACCCCATCCTGTGCTGGGTTACTCAGTCAAGCCCACACACAAGGGACAGCTTCTACCATGTTCCTGACCCTGAGCTAAGAATCTCGCAGTGTCAAGAGAGCTAAACTCAGGGGCAGGAGTTTCGCTTTCTTGGGAGAAGGGACAGTATACAGAACTTACACCCCTTCCTGTCCCAGCGGTGGGGAGCAGCCATAGTTACTTGCAGAGTGCCCAAGTGGGGGTTCACCGGCTTAGTCCCACTGTTTTTGGCCAGCTGGGCCAGCAGCTCCGCGGTTTGGGAGTGGTGCCCAGGCGGTCCCCCAGGAGAGTCAGGAGTCTGCTCCAGTCTGCCCCGACTCCTCCCTTTGGGAGGGAAAGGAGGCGTGCTCCTTTGAGGAGCAGGTCTAGTCGAGCGCGGGCGTGCAGGCTGTCGGCTGCCGCTTCCTTTCTGGCCATTCAAGATTTCCTAAGCCGCCGGCTGTGGAGGAGCTGCCTGGTGCGTGGTCGGGGGGTTGCTGCGCTCCTGGGGCCCTGTGCTGACCGGGTTGCTCTGGGTCTTCTGCGGGACCCTCTTCCGGGAAGGGGGCAAGGGAGCGAGCTGGGCACCGCGGAGGCCCCGGCTGGGCTGAGATGGGTTCGGATCGCCGGCGCGGGAC